TGGGAAGACAAACAGCATCACTCTGAATGTGTCCCCCACCCTTATTTCTTCTTCTTCCAGCTTTCTGTGCTGAGCATGGCACCACATGGTCTGGGATATCCCTGGGGTCAGTTGGGGTCAGCTGTCCCGGCTGTGCCCCCTCCCAGCTTCTTGTGCACCCCCAGCCTCCTCGCTGGTGGGGTGGGGTGAGGAGCAGAATAGGCCTTGACTCTGTGTGAGCTCTGCTCGGCAATAACTAAAGCATCCCTGTGTTATCAACACTGTTTTCAGCACAAATCCAAAACATAGCCCCATACTAGCTACTACAAAAAAAATTAACTCTATCCCAGCCAAAGCCAGCACAAAATAGTTTTCCCATTTTCCTGTGCAGTGAAACACTCCTAACATTTGAATAAGGATAAAATACCTTTTTCAGCATCAAAACCCAGAAGCACTAAAATGTTGTGCTTTCCCCTTCTTGGCTCTAGCTGTTGGCATGGTAAGATCAAAATGGTTGTCTCCAGGGTGTTTCTGGGGCTCCCTCAGTGCTGGTGTTCTGATTTCGTGTGTCCTTTCTGGCTGAAACACACAGGGTTTGGTGCAAAGCTGCAGCGATAGTCCAGCGATCTCATTCCAGTGGGGTGAACAAGCAGACCTTAAAGCACATACTAAGGTTGTGATTCTACAGTTGTCATTTTTTCCTTGCTGATTTTCATTCAGTGATGGTTGTACAAAGATCAAAATCCCCTTGTGTTGCATGCTTGCATATGCTTATGGTCCCAGAGTTGCTTGTCATCTAAATAAACAAAATGATTACCCCGTCGGAGAAATGCTATTATTGTTATTCATTTAGAATAATGGAAAATCAGGCAGAAAACAAAATGTTTTTTTCCGATGGTTGCACAGTGAGATTGCAACAGGGCCAGGAACTGAGTCCAGGTGTCCTGAGTCCCAGCCCAGACCTTTAAACACCAAAATATCCTGCTCCTTGTGAATTCAGAGTGTTTTGGCAAAACTTTCCCCAGAGTGTTTCATAATTAATGTCAGTGCTAGACGCTGAGCGTGTCTTACCAGTTAGGAATTTGCTTTTATACACACACATCCACTTAAATACTCCCCAAAATGTAGCAGCTGTTGGCTTCCTTGTATTACTTGAATATTTCTAAGACAAATATGAGACATGATAAATTGGAAAGTGTTGAGTTGAAATGTTCTGCTTTGAGTCCACTTAACAAACTCCAAAGGTCATCTCCGCTGTGAAGAGCCTAGACGCAGTACGAGGTTTATTGCAAGGGTGGGAAAGGGATTTTTTTGATGTCTAGAAATCAGACTCTTCCTATCTCACAGGGGTGGATTTAATCCAGGAAGAACTAAGCCCATCCTAAGTTCTGTGACAGTTTTTGACAGCTTTCTGGAAAGGAGCTAGAACCAAAGGAAAAAAGAACATCCTACAACAGACTATTGCATCTTGCATCTCGAGTCACCAGTTCCCTTGCTGAGATGCATTTTGTCCTTTTTAAGTCTGCGTAGACAGAATACTGTCTGTGAATAGAAATCTGTGCTGTGGAAGAATGCAGTTCTTCTGAGCAGCTCAAATAGTGGTTTAGTACCACAGCTCATAAGTCTCAAACAAACCTCTTGTCCCATCTTGACCTCTAATTACTGGCTGCGGCGGCAGTCCTACCTACACTCAGCATAACCTGAAAATTCCCATCCTGAGACACTCTGGTCGGTCCTTTATCCTGTATCAGATGCTGTCCAGCTTCAGTGAGCTTTCCCAGGATGTGATTATGTTGAGACAAGGTTTTTCAGGATGGGATGTATGTTTCCGAATAGAAATGTCTCTCTTTTAAAACAAAAATTTATATAGTGAAGGGGGTGGGGGTATGTGCTGTCCTGGATAAAAATTTCTTACAGTCATTTATTTTGCTTGCCTTCTGGGAAGCCAAGGGATTATTCTGGAGAGTGGTGTCCTTAGGAAAACTCCAAGCAAAGGACTGGAATAGATCTTGTTTTTGCAGTAAAAGCTGGCTTCCCTGCATATGTTGTCAGCACAGAGCTAATCCTGAAAAACTTCTGAAGTTTACACAAGGGAAATTTTTGACATTTCAGTGGGCATAGCAGCACAGCGGTGCTTTGGTGTTCAAAAGGCAGATCTGGGGAGCGGGCTGAGATGCCATCTGACTGGAGCTTTCATCTTCCTTTTGGAGGTATTCACGCATGCTGCTTCAACCAGCTTTGCCCCGGCCTTTCTGGGAACCACACAAGCCATTCTGGCTGTGCTGGAGCTGCAGAGCAGTGGAGGGGGTTTAGGAGAGCGCCTGCCTGGCGTGGGACTGGTCTGGACCCGTGGCAATGGCTGGGCTTTTCCTTCAAAAGGTCTTCAAGTAGCCAGGCACCCGCTTTCAAAACGTCTCCATGCCCCAGCAAGCAATGTGAGAGTGTGTCTGGAACAGCTCATCTTATATAAAAGTGCCAGTTTCACAAATCCCCTGGTAGATTTGGAGGTCTGCTCCCATTCAGTGTCTCCCTATCACAATCACCCAGGCATCCCTGACAAGCTCAGCCAGTGATTGCCAACAGCCGTGATGGCTCCAGTTGCCACCGGTTTGACTCATGGTATAGCCCCCTTGTTTGCTCTGTAGGCTGCATTTGCACTCATCCTAATCTAAACAGCCCAGATGAATGCACCGGGTGCTTCTCTGGGGGATTCACTTCATGCCGGGAGCCTCGGTGTGTGTCCTGCAGTGCTTTGTCTCTTCCCCACCTCTCTCGCCTTTAATCTGGGCTCCCAATCACTGTCCTTTTTTTAATGCAAAAATTGTTTTCGGCAGCTTGCTGCACTTCCTAATTCCACCTTGTTTTGAGAAAAAGCCACAGGAAACCTGTTACAGTAATTTTTTAATATTTACCACTTGGAAATTGTGTTTGAGAGTGGAGATTCAAAGGGCAGTGTCCGCTTCCTTCACAGCCAAAACACACTCCCGCCACGCTGCCCCTAGAGAAGGTTACTTTGCAAAAATAATGCATGTCTTCATTCTGTATTTTCCCAAGTCTTGCCAAACTTTATGTGCAGTAGGAAAGGAGGCATCACTCTGCTAACTAAACAACTGGGGTATTTTATTAACGCTGGCAGACAGCTCTACTTTCCGAATAGGAGCAGATTTGCCGAGTGATTTGGTGTGGGCTTGGTGCTTCCAGGGGAACTCTCCTTGTGTAGCCGAATCAAACGTGTTGCTCTGCCCCACTCTAACTATTCCTTCTTAGAGCAGTGTTCAGTGTGAAAAAGGACTTTTTGCCATGCCACTGCTGCAGCCACATGCCCTGAGAAAATCCTTTGCATTTTTTCCCTTAGTATTTCACCACAAAGCTTTCACAAGCTGTGCATGCAAATTGACCATAGGATATACATACACAGGGGCATCCCTCAAGGAGAAGGCCTCATGGTTTCACTCAGATGTCAATCCCAGTTGGTTCAACAGGAGTTCATGTGTTATCAGATGTGTACTGGAATTTTAAAGATGATTGCAAACACTTCTGCGGAGGTAACAAGCAACCTGCTGATGAGGTGGCTGCTCAGGCAATTGACAGTTCAGCCACATTTCTGAAGATAATTGTTTGTCAGAGATGAACCTAGGTGTTAATATGCCTGGCTAGTGATGTCCGTATTCCCTCTCTGATCCCTCAAGAAATGCAGGGTTCTGGGCAGCTCATGGGGGGTCACTGAAAGAGGTTTAGGGCATTTCTCATGGCTTGACTGAAAGGCAAGCTACATTTGATGCTCATGAAGTGATGCAGTGTTAAGGAGCCTCAGGGAAGCTGCTGTTGTCTCCCAGGAATGATCAGGGTCTTGAGGGCAGCCATGGCCTCATCTCACCTCATGTGGCCTCTGCCCTGCTCCAGGTGTAGGATAACAGGGTGTGAAGCTCATGCTTCTCTGAAGGTCCCTTTTTCAGTTTTCGTCATCTGCCAGTCAGGTTGTGTGGTGGGCACATCTGCAGGTTTCTGAAGGTGAGCTGCCGTACGTGACAGCAGCATAGCATAGACATGCCTGAGCTCACTGGCTCCAGTGCTCAGGAGGAGCTGAGCAGCAGTGGTGCAGGGTTCAGTGTGGGTTTCGCTCTCGAGAAGAACGCTTGGACACAGCCTTGCAAGGGCTAGCATTAGCCTGGTCCTGGCTAACTAGCTTGGGTGAACCTGCTTAGACTGCATATGTATCCCAGGGGCCTGACTCTGTACCTTGCTGATACTCAGTGGTGTTGGCTTGCTTTTGGAAGCGAGTGCATTAGCCATGGAAGTGGCCACTCTCTTGCTAAGCCATGCAGATGTTTCACCTGAACATCTGTCCTGCTCACTGAGCTCCCGGCAGCTGCTGCGGATGTGTTTAGCGCTACCATTTATGTTTGTTTATGAGGCTTTCTCCAGTGTGAAACTAATGTCTGGTGTCAGTTCTGAATCTCTAAATCCAAACTAACTTGATATACCAAGATAAACTCCTCTTTTGCCACTACCAGCAGAGTCTGGCCTTTTACAGTTATACACAGCTGGGCTTAATACATGATCCCAAGTATCCATTTACAGGCAGAAGCCCTTAGCCTGCAGATAGCTCAGACTCCAGGGCTTGTAGAGAGAGGTCTCAGCAGCTGCTTTCCTCTCCTCTCTCTGTCTCATATCTCAGGAGAGCATCTCTCCACCTGGGGCTGAACAGAGGGTTGGAGCAGCTGAGATGAGAGGATGTGCAGCTGGAAAATAGGCTGGACCCCATCACCAACAGACCATGTTGCAGAAAGATAACTGACCTGTCCGGCTCTCAGGAACTCCAGCTCTTCCGATTTCCCTTATACTGGGTTTTCCGCTCATCTCAGCCTCTGTGTTCAGGTTTTCTGTGGTTATCCCATCATTGCCCAGAGCAGTGGTGTCAAAAGGGTATCAGAGGTCTAGGCATCAGAGGGTGCAACATATTCTGTGGTGTTCACTGTCCTATATCATCAACTCACTTGGTCTTTTTTATCTTGTTACAGCTGAACAAGTTGGAGGAGGCAGCAAATGCAGCTCACACCTTCTTCATGGCAAACCCCGAGCACATGGAGATACAGCAGGACATTGAGAACTACAAAACCACGGCAGGGAAGGTCAGCTTGATTGACTGGGAGGCCAAGCAGCACATGGTGAGTCTGAGCTAAAGTGGTGCCCGGGTTAAGTGTCAGGCAGTCTGGAGAGAAGAGATTTAGGAGGCCAAGAGAGCATCATCTATGAATGGGGAGATTCCTGCCAAGGTCCATACTACAATACAGCAAAACTCCCTTTCAGCACTCTTCTTTAAGGCAAGCCAGCTCCTAATGTTTCAAGGTATTCTCTGCTCTTTGTTTGATTGCTATGGCCCCAAACTAGTCCCTCTCTTCAGGGAACTCTGGGGTCATCCCTAGCTGTGAACACGCACCAGCAGTCAGCTTTGGATGCCTCCATGGGCACTGACAGACAGACCTTGGCTCATGTGTGTTTCTTTTGAGCTGGGTTCTACCACCTGGGCAGGGTACATGCACATGAGTGGTTGTACTGATGAGGGTGCAGGGTGGCAGGCAGGAGAGTGACAGCTTTTTCCCCCTTCCCAAAGCAAATGCGCAATGAAAATGCCAAGCCAATCCATCTTTCTGATTTCATAAGACAAAAGGGAGCAGGAGTGGCTGTTTGGTGTAATTAATGGAGCTCATTAGATGCCATTCTAAGACAGATCTGCTTGGGTCAAGAGCAGTCTTTTCCCTTTACATTCAGTGTAGTTGTTGGGTAGGAAGGTGAAAACAAAGACAAGGAATGGTTTTTCACATAATGCATAATCCAGCAGTGACCCTGAGGATTCCCTAAATCTTGAGGAGTTCAGAAGAGCATTTAGGCAGGTTTATGAGGTTCCACTGGTCCAAAAGTCCATTGATGGCTTAAACATGGTGTGGTACAACTGCTTACATCTGGCAGTTACCCAGGGAGGTTGTTCTGTCCCTTTCCACTTCTGCCTTTTTTTGAGAAGCCCCTGCAGTTGGCAAGGGCAGGATGCTGTGGTCTGAGCAGCATAGCCTGCTCATGGTTTGTCTTCTGCCTGCCTGCTTTGCAGGAGGACTACAGTGCCGGAGTAAGGCACTACGACAAGGAGGAGTATGAGCTGGCCATTGACTTCTTGGAGCGTGCATTGGAAGGATACTACTCTGAGGATGAAGATTGCCAGATCATGTGCGAGGGACCACAGAGATTTGAGGAGCATGAGTACCTGGAATATAAGGCTGGCCTCTACGAAGCTATTGCAGGTGAGATCTTTTTGTGTCTTTAGGGTTCTCACCCTTGATTGTGTAATGTTTTTAATTATTGAGTTTGGACCTTTGTCTGGATTTGGTGAAGTGTCTTCCTTTCCATTGCTGCTGCTGCTGGTGAGTAACACTGCAGGAGGCACTTGCAAGGCCAGAAAATGGAAATCCAAAGGACAGGGAACTAGAACATCTCATTTTGAATAGAAGCTGGGCTAGAATAATTGCATTTCCAGATGTGTGGAGTATTTTCAGCTTTCCGTAGCAGCTGGAAGTATAGATGCTTTAACATAAACTGCCTCGGTTTCCCCCTGTACACAGTCTCACATACCTCCCTGGAATCTAGATTTTGCTGGCCTCTGTTTATATTTTTCTGGTTTTTAGTGCATATGAAGAGAGCAGCAGAGTCGTCTTGGCCATGATCCAGATAGCCAGGAAAGTTGCCAAAAAGGCTCAGAACATAGATTTCCTCCCTGTCCAAAAGGATGGATTTGTCATTAGTGGAGACTCACCTAATTATGATCTTGACTGAAATCTCTGGAGAGAATTGAACATTGCTATGTAATCTTCAGATTTGCATGTATGGCTCTGAGCCAGAGGGGATTAAAATGGTTCATTCTCAGTAGAAATGAGATTACATTTAATTAGTTGTAAGGGAAAGAAGAGCAATAAATTAAGGTTTGTTTGGTGACAGGAATCTTACTTATCTGCTCAAGGTCTTGGAGTTGCATCAAGCTCTGGAGTTTTGCTTCTTGTGTGGAAAACCATTCAGATGCAGATTGTTTTTTGGTTTTGCATAATTCTGTTTGTGTTGAGACAGGAAATCTAATTGAAATGACCAAGATGAGAAACCACCAACATACCGGATGGGAAGCCGTCTTTGTTGAGTTTATTTACCCATGAAAAAAGTATGAGAAGTGTTGTAAGGGCTGACTTAATACCAGTGTAACCAGTGTCAGCTGATCATGCCTGCTTTTAAAACCATGACCAGGACACCAAGGGCCATATCAAGCCCTCCAAGAGAACAGCCTTCAGTGTCAAAGAAAACCCACCTTCCTTCTCACTGAAAGCTGCTGCTCATCAAACAGGATTTGGTCTCTGTTAAATCGTTTCTGTGCTGTGAAAGTCGCGTGCAGCCCCAGTGAGCAGAGAAGGTCTGTCTGTGCTGGACCACGCGGAGCGCAGACACGGTCGTGGTGTGGTGCTCCTCAACCCAGCACGTCATCTGGGAGTGAGAGCAAGCCAGATGGTCTCTGCAAGTGCTGAGACTTGGCTTGGCCAGATATGCCTGAAAATAACAACTCCAAACCCCATGGCCGTTCAGGCGCCCAAAGAAACAGGGTAGTGAGGGCACACAGGGAAATAAGCTACGTAATGCAACTTCTTGGCTATAGGGAACTAAGTGATTCCTTAGAGGACATCATAATCCAGAGTTTACCCCTGGGTCCAGGGTGCTCAGCCCCAGAGGTTTCAGCAGAGAGTGAGAACACTAATACACCAAGAAAAGAGCATTTAAGTTACTTCAAAACTCATTTCTCTTTTCAATCCCAATCTGATCTGCTGTGCTGCTGCATGGGGTTGAGACACTCTCACCTTTCCACTCCAGGGACAGATGCATTTCAGTGAATTGATTCCAGTCTATATAGCCTGTTTCTAGGGTACCTTGACAGTACCAAGAAAAAGCAGTGCTTCTCAGTGGTGGATTATTCCAGGTCTAGGATGCTTAAATAGTTTTAAATTACAACAAAATTATTTATGTCCTTTTCCTTCTTGTTCTCCTTAATGTAATACCCTGGATGTGTATGGTAAATCAGATAACTACTCAGACTACCTGCCCAGAGCAGGCTGTTTTGAGTTTCCACTTGATTTCATTGCAGATTCCTCAGGCTGTTTTTTTGGCAGCTCTGAGAAATGCTATGGTAGCTGAGCACATGTTTTTTTTCAAGCCTGTGTTTGTTTCTTAAGGTTTTTAATGGTGTACAGAGACAGAACAAGCAAAGTAGATTTGTAAGTGCATTGCAGCAAAGGCTCCAAACTGGAATCAGATGTCAGCGTTGGCTTCGGGATTGTACAGCTGATACAACGCCTATATTGTGGACTCCCACCAATTAAGAAACATTGCTAACGGCAGATGCTTACCACGTGCTTGCATTTCCCTGGGAGATATCTCATCTTTGAGAAGCAGCAAGCTTGGGGATTTTGCTGCCAATATTTGCACCTTACACCTTTCAGGATTGCGGTGCAGGTGCCTCACTCAGCTGTGCTTGAGAAGCTGCACCGACCTCTCTTATCAAAACTTCCCTGTGCCTTCGTGAGCTTTCTTGCAGCAGAAAGGAGAGGATTAAAGATGGGCTGAAGGAAGGGAGTATGGAGATGGCTTTTGTGTGGCAGCACATGTGGCCACCCTGTCTTTACATCTCCGCTTGCTTTGTGGGTGTCCTCAGCTTTGGTTTGGCTCTTGTGGTTGAAGATCTACCTGCCACCTGCACATCCCTGCACCCATCTGGCTTTCCTGGAAGAAGCAGCAGCTCCCTGTGCACAAAAGGCTCAAGCTCCCTCTACAGTTAACAGAAGGAGAAAGACATTTCTCAAGGGGGGCAGAAATGTGACTACAACTATATTGGCTTTGGGAAGGAGCTCGGGCTCTTTCTTTAGGTGCACAGGTCTCACCTGCTGGAACAGAGTTGTGTGAGTTGCATGTCCTTCAGTTGGGGAGATTTAACCTCTGTCTGTCCTCAGCACCATCACCATCCTCCTCAGTTCAGACTGTCTTCTCCCTCTTTTCTTGGCAGATCACTACATGCAAGTCCTGGCCTGCAAACATGACTGTGTCCGGGAACTCGCCACACGTTCGGGCCGAATCTCGCCCATCGAAAATTTCCTCCCCCTCCATTACGACTACTTGCAGTTTGCCTATTACAGAGGTAAAGGCTGTCTTTCTCTTTCCTCATAGTGCTTGCTGAGTTTTATTACATTTTGTGAAAGTTTGAATTGTTCCATGTGGAAATCAGGATATTGCCTTATGGTGTTTCTGCTACAGTGATGCAGTGGCATGATCTGGGTCAGGAAGCAAAGGACATCATTGGAAATTGTCTCTTCAAAAGTCAGGTTGATCAAAATGCAATTAAGTATTTTTGTCAAAGTGTTTTAAAACATCAGCTGAGTTTAAAAAGCCCATCCTTTAGCTTAAACATTATTATTCAAATAAATCATGCTTTTTTAGGGTCCTTTCATTTGCCTTTTGATATTAAAGTTCTGGTGATTTATATGTTTCACATTTTCTGAAACCAATTGATACATTTTCTAAGTTATTATATATCAGATATACAAGTTAGCCCAAGCTTATCCCAAGATGCCAGTTTTTGCTAATTACCAAATATTTTAGGATTCACAGTAAAGTTGCAGAAGTTGGCAAAATATTGCAAAATATCAGGAGTTCACAGTGCTGTAAAATACTGCCAGTTGTGTAGCTCTGTATGGTATTTTTCTATGTTCTGTTTCATAAAAGAAAATCTAGGTAGAATTCTGCTATCTCAGGCTTGTGCTAAGAGCTCTTTCCTGGGCAGAATGTGTGAGGGTCAAAATTGCTACTCAAACCTAAAGCTTCTTCATTCATCAGTGAAATGGGAAGAAAGCGGGAGGAGTCATCAGCATTTTGTGCGTGGTGTACAGGCATTTTATTCCTCTGCTCAATTAGAGGCTTAATGTGGTGGGTAAAACTCCCCAGAGCCATGAGAGATGCTGCAGAGCAGAGAGGCATTTGCTGTCAGGCTGCATCCACATCCTGCCCATCCAGTCGGATCGTTTGGATACTGTCTGACCTGTGCATGACTGCAGAGAAGTTGTGTCTCTCTGCCTCAGTTTCCCTGCCAGTGAAATGGAGAAGTTAAGACAAAGATGCATCAAAAGAGCCTTGTAAAATGCTGGGCTCACTCTTCAACAGATGGAGAGCTCAGTCTGTGCCCTCCCTCTCAGCAGGCTCCCCTCTGCCCCACTGTGTTCTCTGTGAGCCCCTGGCACTGCCCCCCTGACAACTCTTGTGTTGTTTCCCAGTTGGTGACTACATAAAAGCCCTGGAGTGTGCCAAGTCCTACCTCCTCTTCCACCCGGATGATGAAGATGTCTTGGAGAACGCAGGTTATTATGAGGGCCTCTTGGAAGGTACTGTGGATCCAGGCTCCATCAAACCCAGAAAGGTGAGACTGAGTGTCACCTAAGAGCCCTCGGCAGGAGGCTTTAACAAAAGCATCAACTGGAAATAAAAGCAGCTTGGCAGCTTTCCCACAGTGGAACCACTTTGAAAACATGTGGAGCTGCTGGACTAGGTGGTGATGCTAGTTGTCAGGTGCAAGTCCAGAGTCACTGGTGTGTGGGGGAAGCTGGGAGGCAGGATCTTCTTTAAATGGGCACTTAGCTTAGCAAAGCCCAAGCAGGGTCAGGGAGGGCGATGACTGAGTACCTCAACAACATAAACCCTCCTCTCGTTCAGTGCTCCAGAGGAGACGTGGAGGAGGAATGCAGTAGAGCACTGCGCAGAGGGCAACCTCTGTTAAGTGAGGGCTGAGAAATATTTTCCCAAGGGGAGGCTGGGATGTCGATGTTACTCTCAAGTCACTGAGCTTGGAGTTCAGTGCTAAGCCAGACAGTTCTGCAGGGAGTAGCTTTGCTATCACAGGGTTAGGTTGGGGTCAAACAATGAAACAGTATGAGTTCAGTCACACAGTGGGAGAGGCTTCCTCTCCTGTCCAAGCAGCCTTTATCTGCAGCCCTGGGGCTGACTTTCTCATGATACAGAAGAGAAGTTCCTCCTACCCCATCACAGCCCCGTTAGAGGCTCGTTCCCCTTGAGCCATAAGCAGAGGGTAGGCAGGAACTGGATTTTCCATTCCCTTGGGAATTCTTTGATTTCCAGGTAAATTTGGTACAATGCTAAAAAAGGAAAGAGAAATTATAAAGAAGAAAACAAGAACAATTATAATTTCTTCTCTCAATGCTCAGCACTCCCTGCCAGCTATGGACACGTATTTTGGGGCTTCAGGCTTCCCGAATGAGTTGCTGAGCATCTCCCTTTCTGTAACATAGTGAGTGGCTTAGCCCCATGTCCTGGCTTGCTCTAAGGCGTGACCCAAGCATCCCTCACCCCATAGGAGCCTGTGGTGTGCATGAAAAGCAAACCCCCTCTTGAAGCAGAGGTGCACTGCAGGTGTCTTGTGGAAGCTACGTGTGCAACTACTCCCCTTTTCCTCTTCTTTTCAGGAAGCAAAAATGCTGCTGCGGCGCCATAAGCTGGAGTCTCACCTCTTGCAGGTGGCTGCGGCCGGCCTTGGATACACCTACACGGAGCCGGTAATGCCTGGGTCTGCTATGGAGAGACCCTTAGGAGTCCACAGCTTTAGGAACAGCTTTGGCTCTCCCCTCTTGTATAAATTGAATCCCATTTAGAGGACTCAGGAGCAAGATCTTGGCCTGATTTGTTCCCTATGGAAAAATGGTGATGGCAAAGCAAGGAAGGCAGCTGTTCTGGGGCAAAGGAGAAGCAGACGTAGCCTAGTCCAGCTCTCCTGCCAAGGTGTCTGGCTGCATCTCAGCCACGGTGGTGGTGGGGTGGGACAGAGGAGGCTGGGCAAACTGGGCTCCTCTGTACTCACCATACGAGTTTGGGTTGGAGTCACATTTTCAATTTGGTGACCCCAGGCAATTGCCCAGAGTTGTGTGGGGTGGATCTATACCAGAGGGGCTGGCTGATGTCCCTGGGGGCGAGGCAGAGCAGGTGCTCCCTTGCTTCAGCTTGAGCATTAAATCAAGAAGCATGACCTCTCTCTTTTCCCACAGAACTACTGGAACAGGTACGGCGCCCGCCAGGATGAGCACAGGTGAGACACCACCCACCCCAGCTGAGCTCATGGCTTCACCAGTCCCCACAGTGGGGTGAAGGGGATGTGCCATGATGGGGTACCAGCCTGCCACTTGGGGGTGCTGCCCATCCACCCCAGAACACTGTCATGGTTGAATTAGGGCCCTTTGCACTTTACCATTACAAACATTCCCTCAAGCACCTTGGTTTAGCTTAGTGCCTCAAAACCAGCTATAGTCTAGAGGGAACTTGGTCGATGAGGCAAGTTGTGCTGTTCAGGTTTGTTGGTCTCTGTGCTTTGCTGGTACAAATTGTTGTTCCCATTACCACAAAACCACAGTTTGCCACAGGACAGGGTGAGGGCTTCTACATGTATCGGTGTGACATTTACAAGGTACCAATTTGCCTGGTTTTTTCACGTATTGGTTTCCGAAGGGTGCAAAACAGTGCAGTTCCCAGAACTGGAGACCTGTGGCCAAAGTAGTGATGCTCCTCTTCTCTCTTGCTCCTCAGTGTCCCATCAAGTATTAGCAGTGAACCAGAGGATGGGCCCCGGCTGTCCCTGGCAAAGAAACCCATGCCAAAACCAGATCGAGAGTTGAAGGAGGGTAAGTCTGATGGAGATGTTTCAACAAAATCAGAAGTTTTTTTCCTGTTACTAGAGACTGCAAACTGCAAAGGCTGTCTGCTGAGCAATGAAGGCAAATCCTATCTAAGGGGCTTGAAGTTTTGTTCAGGAGACAGAAGTGTTATATGCTGCCACAGCATTTCTGGGTCTGTAGATCCCACCATCACTGCTCTGGTCTTGGACTTGCTTTTCCCACCTGCTGAGCTGCTCAGTACAAAGCCCTGAGGTGTGGAGGTGGGAGGCTGGGTTCTCCCCACCATGGGAAAGATGACATCAGCAGTCTTTCCCCCAGATGCTTTTAAGGTTAAAGTGTTTCCTGTCGTCCAGGCCACAGAAGGATGGATGCTGGAGGCATTAGGTTTTGGGAACTCCAGTCCTGATGCTTTACTAAATGTGCTGGATCACACCGTATTTACAACCATTTCTGTTTGCAGACTGGCTTGTGATTTCATGTCTTGGCTTACATCAAATCACTTGGTTTTAAGGCATGTCAGCAGACATTTCAACTGATTGCAGCACATTTTCAGTGACCACAGAAAATACTATAACATCTTCTACTAAAGACAAGATTTCCCCCATAACAATTTTGAAATACTATATTGTAGCCAAATACCAAAGCATATTCCTCACTGCAAAATAACGGGATGTCAAGCCAGGAGGTGTCTTGTGTCTCCAGTGGGCCAGCTCCACAGCAGCAAGCAGTTAAACCTCCCTGTAATGCAATGGATGGTTGTGCTTTTTGGGGAATTTCACAGCTTTCTATGGCCCAAGCTGCTCAGTGTCATGTTCAGAATATTGTTATCCCTTCTCTAGCCGTACATAAAATAGGCAAATACCACAGGAAGATCCTGAAGGGCTTGCTTAAGCCAAGAGCCGATTGATTTATATTTGTTGGCCTGTTTGTCTTCTATAACCAAATAATTTCAGAATGCGTCTTTCTCTGCTTTTTCTTCTCTCTATGCTTTTATTCTGGTTTAGTTGCAGAATGTTTCCAAGTTTACAAAGAAAACTGAAACCATTCAAAAAGAAAATGGGATTTTTGTCCATCCAGCTGTTTTCTTTCTCTGTTGTCTTCTTTTCTTTCTCTCTTTTCACTTGGCAAAAGAAAAGCCCAGCAGAAAAAATGAAAAGTCCATTTTAATTTTGTACTCCTCATCTTGTACTCTCCCTTCCCCCTTTCTCCTTTCTGCCAATTCCTTCACCCTCAAAAGTCCAAATAATTCCCCAGTTTCTTTGGGGTGTTTTTCACAGAGCCTACATGTGGGAAACAGGTCTCTCTCTCTGCTGGTGCTTAGAGGTGGTAGGGTTGAGGAAGGTAGCCGGGAGCACGCTGCTGGTGTGGGACAAGGGTTCAGTGTTCATAGCACAGGGAAGCCTCCACTAGTTCTCTGGGAGGAACGGAAGCAACTGGGGAAGTGGTGAGTGATACCTTCCAGGTTCATCCCTCATGCCTACGGCTGGGGATGAGCAATATCTGATCTGGAAAACTCAAGCCCTGAGTTGGAGTGTGCCAGGAGTTTGGATTTCAGAGTCCTGTTTCTGATCCAACTGCATTTATAATAAATGCTATTATTGAGCAACAAGAACAGCAAAGTTAACATGAAGAACATCCCATCTTTTGTGTTCCCAGAAAACCTAACTCTTCAAAAATAAATTTGTGGGCTAGTGGCAGGGCTCTGCCCTCAGGGTTATGTGTCCTTCACAGGCCAAGGAGACCTTCCAAAAACACAGTGTGCCTCAACAGACAGGAAAAATAGTAATTATAAAAGTAGCGTAACAGAGAAGTTTCCTTGTGCCACATGGTGAGAGGAGCTCTGTGGCTTTGTTTCTTCTGTTTTATTGTGGCTGTGTGACAACAGATAATTTTTCCCACAATTTAGATGCATTTCACCTTCCTCTTGGAGAAACATCTGATTTAAGTTTTTATTGTTGCCATGTCTTTCATTCTCTCTCTTCAAGGAGATGAGGGGAAGAGGCTGCAGAAGATTGTGATTTAGTGGCCTTGACATGTTTTTCTGATCACTCAAATTGGATGGGGATGTATCCAAACTTCTTGTAAAGAGCTAATCTCTCTTTTCCTTGCCCATTAGCTTAGCATGTGGCAAGGCTTAGTTGCCCATACCAGGCAGGAGCCCAGGCATGTGCAAGCCCAGCCACAGTTGTATTACCATCCCGGGGATGCTTACCTGGGATCTCCAAAATTCAGCCAAGCCATTGGCTTCTGGCAGGCAGAGGGAGGCATCTTGGAGCAAGGGATGGCAGGGACAGCCGTGGCAGCTCCTTTGCCTCTGTGGAGGAGGATTGTCCTCAAGGTCCTTGGGCTTGCTCACTTCCAGCCCTGCTTTTTGGTGGAGAACAAGCGATGCTTGCTGCAAGCTCAGCACTACATTAGGTTTTCTATGTGTGTAAAAGACAGAAAACCCTACTGATGACAATTGCAGAGAGTGGCTTCACATGCCAAGCCAGCAAGATCCACGTAGTGCAAATGCAGTGGAAACTTATGGCCTCGGCTGATGCTGGCTGCTGGGCAGGAGGGCCAAGTTAGCCGGGGTCTCTCTTTGTGTCCCACTGGATTCTGACATTTTCAGGCTGTGGTCCCTGCGTTTGTAAGGCAGCTAATGAGAAGGTGGAAAATTTTGATACTCTTGCAGCAAATTGGTTTAATCTCCAGGTGTTTCTTTTGCTTCTCTTTCTTTTGTTGCTGTTGTGAGGCCAAACTCCGCTCTCCGCTGCAAAGCTCTTTCCCTGGCAGCACACCCAGCTGGCTTCAGCTGGCCCTCAGCCATGGTACAAGATGGCAACAAGGCCAGGGCATGTTCAGCAGGGTTGTTTTGTGCCTCTCCATCAGGGGGTCCGCTTCTCTACAGCGACGTGAAGTTCGTCTACAACTCACAGCAACTGAACGGCACCCAGCGAGTGCTACTGGATAACGTCATCTCGGAGGAACAGTGTCGAGAGCTTCACAGGGTGGCCAGTGTGAGTAGGCAATGCCCCTGGAGGGGACATGACAGCCACCTGGGCTGAGCTGCCTGATGCTCTCCCCAGCATCTGGCTTGTGAGGGCTGAGTGTGTGACTGGCCCCTGCAGAGGTTCTGGCTTCATGCCTCACTTTTGAGTGTTGCAGCTGATGTCAGGGTGCCCGTGGAGAGCAGTCAGACACTTATCCCCATAACACACCCGTAACTGCGGCACAGGAGCTGCTTTTCCATCTTGGGCCATTCTTAGAAACATGCTGCAAGACAGAGCATGTGCAGAAATAGCTCTTTGCCACATGTTATACACAATCCCAAAGAATGTTTATCCACAGGCCTGGTTGAGCCTTCTCGTTCATCATCAGCTGAGCCTGGGAAGGGATTGAGGATGCCTGAACATCCCCAGATGGGAGGTGGGTGGCTGTTTTCCAGCATCTCAGAATGGACCCTGTTCATGGAGAGCTGCAGTGCCTTCCCACTCAACTCGCATGTCCCGGTGAATGCAGCCCTGGGGGATTTGGGGAAGAGGGTGCCAGGTGCTTCCATCGCAGGTCCTCCTCTTCTGGGGAGCCAGTTCACCCTCACTCATGTTCATGTCTCTCAGGGGATCATGTTGGCTGGAGACGGTTACAGGGGTAAAACCTCCCCCCACACCCCAAATGAGAGATTTGAAGGAGCCACCGTTCTCAAGGCCCTCAAGGTACATCTTCTTCCCTCCTCCTGTCCCATGCCCTCCGTCCCAGCCAGCATGTGGCACTGACCTTCTCTCACCCCTTCTCCTTGCCCAGTACGGATATGAGGGCCGTGTCCCGCTGAAGAGTGCCCGGCTCTTCTACGACATCAGTGAGAAGGCTCGCAGGATCGTCGAGTCCTACTTCATGCTGAACTCCACACTCTACTTCTCCTATACCCACCTGGTGTGCCGCACTGCCCTCTCTGGTGAGAGCTGGGGGGCTGGCAGCAGGGCAGGGCAGGGCTGGGAGGACAGGAGGGGTTCAGCCCCCCACGGGGTGTTTACAAGTGGGTGACCCAACCCTGAGAGTAGCTCTCTTTTGCTTGATGATTAAGGTGGTGGCTGAGAGCTGAGCAAAGTCACTGTCCCCACAGTGGCAAAGGGTGGGCACTGCTGTCCTGAAGAAGCTCATTTCTGGCATGTCTCTTTTTTTTCGTGTCTCCAACTCTTCCTCTTTTCTTCTCCCTCTTCTCTTGCCTTCTCTCACTGCCCCTTCACCTTTCCAACCCCCCAGCTTTCCATCTCGCTTCACTGCAGTAAGGAACAAGCAGAGCTATGCAGATCTGAGTCTTCCCATGTTCTCTTTTCTCCCCAACTCTCCCTTCCTCTCACCTGTGAACAGCATCCAAAGTGGGGTTGAGGCAGGCTCCCCACTGTGATGGACCCCACAGAGCATGGCATTTCCATTTCATCCACCCCTTCTCCTTCCCCCTTCCTCCACATGGTCCTGCCTAGGCCAGCAGGAGAGGAGGAATGACCTGAGCCACCCCATCCATGCTGACAACTGCCTCTTGGACCCTGAGGCCAATGAGTGCTGGAAGGAGCCTCCTGCCTACACCTTTCGGGATTACAGGTGGGAAGGAAGCGGGGGATGCCACTGGGGACCCTCCTCAAGGCAGGGCATCCTGTTCCACAGGCTGTAAGCCCTAAAGCTGGTACATCCCGGCCGTGGCAAAAGTGAGATCCAGAAGGTAGTTTCTGGTGGCAGCAAGCATCATGGCTAAGCTTCAAGCCAGAGTTTAACTCTGATTGCTCTCTGATGTTTTAGGGTTGGGAGATTCCAGCTGTGGCCCACAGGACTGTGTCTCTGTCAGGTGTTCTTGATGCAAAATGGGAGGATGGGAGCTGGTGGGACCCAGGGGACATTCTGAGAATTGTTCCCCAGCCAAGGAGAGATCTGCCAGTTCTCAGCTGTGGCTCCAAAATGAGGGCAGTTTGGGTGGCTCTGACTGGCCCACAGCAGGACCTCCCGTGCCTGGCAGCCCCCCCGTCTTAGTGGAGTGATGCAGGATCTGCCCCGGAGGTGAGGGTCAGTCAGCCCCAAGTCTTCCCTGCTGCTCCCCTCACAGGGGTCTCCCTCTTCCTCCCCCAGTGCCCTCCTGTACATGAACGCAGACTTTGAAGGAGGCGAGTTCATTTTCACTGAGATGGATGCCAAAACTGTGACGGTAAGTCAGTGCTATGAACCAAACACTGTTCCTCAGCAGCCTGTGCTGGGGCTCTGGGCTTCCCCAGGCAGTCTGTGGCTTCTACCTTGCAAAGAGCCCGTACAAAATCCTGCTGGCAGAGGTGCACAGACCTTCCGTGCCCTCCCCAGAGGCTGCACTGAGCAGGAAACCTGCAGATCAGCGGGATGGCTGAGAGTCATCCCTGCCTGCAGGACTGCTGAGCTCCCACCCCATCTTGTGGCGAAACATGAAGCGGTGCCTGTCTGCACTGTGCAGCGTCTGGCCCAAAGCAGGTCACAGTGGCGGGCACGAGTCTGAGAGTGATGGGGCTCAGGCACAAGCCCTCACCTCTGCATGGGGCCACTGGGGAGTCTGGGCACCCCCATCCATGGTTGGGCAGAGCATCTGGACACCGTGCTGGGGCTCTGAAGTTCAGTAGTTGCTGGAGGGTATATGGCATCTACCTAAGACCAGTGCAAGAGGGTTGATTTGGTTGGCACTTCTACCCCAGAGGTCCCACAGGATACCTGTTGTGGTCTCAGCAGAGAGAAGAAAGGCATTGGACAGCCTGTGCCAGGGTTAGCTTGTGTTTCCTTGGAGCTGTGCCATGGCCCTGTTTTGCCATTGGTGGTCACCTGCAGGCTTTGCAAGGACTCCATGCCACTGCCTCCTTTCTGCGTGATGGCTGCACAGCAGGATCAAGTCTCACACCTACCTGTTTACCCCACACATTTTTATAGCCATGCCCAGAGCTCTGCCTGTCTTCCAGAGCAGCTCATTGGGTCCTGGGGTGATGCAAAGAGATGCCCAGTAAGATCCCAGGCCCTAGACCATCATGAGCCCAGACATGGCCAGTGCATTTAGTTGTGTTGCTCTCTGCCACCTTGGTGTTGTCTGTTTTCCCACAGGCCTCCATCAAGCCCAAGTGTGGACGAATGATCAGCTTCTCATCGGGCGGCGAGAACCCCCACGGGGTGAAGGCAGTTACCAAAGGTCAGCGGTGCGCTGTGGCTCTCTGGTTCACCTTGGACCCGCTTTACAGAGAGCTGGTGAGTCCCTCCGTCACGACATGAGGGGAGCTAGCGGGGTACTGGAGGAACCTGGGCTGTCTTCAACCTGGTTTCCCCATCACACCCCCCACAGCCGTGTTCCCATCTGCTGCACCACAGGGGCATGAGCTGGTGGCCCCGGGACTGAGCAGTTTTCCCTGCCAGCCATGCTCCTGGACACCCATCACCCTGGGCCCATGGGGTGCGGGGCTGGGCTGGGGTGTTGAGCAGGGTGCGGGAGGGCTCCGTGCAGGGCTGGGCTGGCCGTTTCTGACACCTAGTGGCAATAACCTGATGAACGGGCAAGTCCTCCACAGCCAGCCACAGCTCAGAGGCCAGCGATGTGCGGCTGCTGCCAGGTCCTCCAAAGCACTTTGGTAGCCTGAAGTTCATGGGTCTGGGCACCAGGATGCCTTGGGAGATGTGGGCTGTGATGCCTTTCAACAGGTAACCTCCAAGCAAAACTAAATGCAGGGAGAGAACAAAACCCTTGTGCCTTTGCCTTGTGAAGCAAGTGGGCTGAGAGGTTTTGGAAGAAGCTTATTTCCAAACACACACTTTACTGCCTCTCTGCTTTTCGGCACCTGCTGAAATCCCTCCGTGCTTGGTGCGTGTATGGTAGGAGATCTGCCCTGCCCAGGAGCTGGAAATCCACACCAAGCAGAGGGGACGGGTACACTGTGGCAGTCACTGCTAGTGAAGTGTGATAAGGGAACAACAGTACATCAGCTCTGCATCAACCATTGCGGGCCCTGGAAGGAGGAGGGGTTTAGGTATTGAGGTGCAAAATGATTTGATTCGTTTTGCCCAACAAATCCCCAGCTCAAGTCCCAAGCTGTCCCTTGTCCTCTCAGCTACACTCGTGGTCCTTGGATGAACTGCTTGCTGTGGGGTCCTCCCAGCAGGCTGAGCTGCGCTGAATAAGCTGAGAGCAGGCACTGAAGCTCTTCTATTACATTTTTTTCCCTTCCCTCTTGCAGGAGCGAATCCAGGCAGATGAAGTGATCGCAATGTTGGACCAGGAGCATCTAGGACCCAGCGAAATGAACATCAACCCAAAGGATGAGCTATGAACTAGGCCAAAGACTTTTTCTATTAAATATTTATTTAATATTGTTAATCTTATTAGAACCCTTCTATTTTTGTACAGAGTGCTGTATAAATTAACAAGTTAATAAGATTGTGGAGTTTCAGGAGTGCCTCTCCTGTGTTTAGTACAGCTCTTGCTGGGACCCCTCAACTCTGTGCCAGCATCTCTTGCTGTGACTTTGCTTCTGGAATTCCCTGATGCTGGTAGAACCCAAGGTTAGAAGTCATCATTTCCAGGTCCATGTTGGAAAGTAGCTGAAAGGCTCAGGGATGTTACCGTGCCATGGTATTGGGTGATCATGGTGCAACTTTGTGCTCCGGGTGTCCTGACTGCATCCTCCTGTCCTGATAGTGCAGGAGCAGCAGTGTTCATGGTGTGGTAGCATCTATTTCCTCAGAGTATTTCTGACCCAGGCTGAGGGTGTTGCAGTGAAAGCACATGCTGCTTATCACAAGGAATTTACTATGCCAGTAACTGCTGCTAAGCTAGTAAACCATCCCTCTCCCACCATTAAATTAACTCCTGTGTGTGGGATCAGAGCAGCCCCTACCATAGTCAGAACGAACACTGAAATCACAGAACTGCCCACATCCCAGACATACGGACAGATTGTATTTTGACCAACAGCTGCTTCTGCTGCTAGAAAGCAGTTTCTAAAAGGCAGGTTGCAGCAGTCTTTGCTGTTGAATTTACTGCAAGGCTGCTGTCTCTCGAGAAAGCACTGCAGGGATCTTGGCTGGAGTTAGCATCCCTGAGCAGGTTTGCTCAGCTCCCTGCTGCATTGGCACTTTCTCAGGCCTTTTCTGATCCCCTCTGCCAGCTTTGGCATTCCCAGGATTTAACATCTGTAATAGGGAATTGTCATTTCTCTTTATTCATACAGCTTGTGCCTATCCAAATCTTTCAGGCTCAGCAGCATCCTCTTCTCATCCGGTCACTAGCTCCAGAGCCGTAGACAAGGATGGTCCTTCTGCAGAGACCTCAAAAGCTGGTCCTGGGCAAGATAAAGGGGAACTCGGTGCATCTGGAAAAAACAAATGCCCAGACTGTGAAGATGCCACCATTAATGTCTAGAAAATGATGGGTCATTTGCTGCACCTCCTCCAATGTGGAATTTGCAGGGGCAAAAGTACTGAATGTTTCTGAGCCACCAGTGTAGCTTGTTTCTTGGAAATTAGATCTCCCTTCCTCATAGACTGTTGAAAAGATTCATTGCATTGGCTCCCAAAAGAACTGCCCAGAGGTCTCTGCTTTCAGAGACCCTTCCCTGCTTAAGTGCTTCCCCTGTAAATGCTTAGCCCACCTTTTCTAAAATAGCTGGAAGAAAAGCTGGAGGGAAGAAGGGGAGGGCAGCTGGAGAGCTGAAACTGTGCTTGTGTTGTCTCCCATCTGCACTACGCTATTACATCCAAGGCTTGACTCCTACATGCTGCACTTTCAGCATGAGTTTGAGCTGTCATCCCCCAACACCCACATCTGCCTGAGTGCATCCTGCAGAGCTGTCCCCTCCAAGCAGCTCGGTGCAGCCCCTGCGCTGCCAGGGGATCCCACCAGCTGGCCCTCCTGCTGGGACGTGGTGGGGCATCACAGGTCATGGTTTGTTTGCTTCTGTGGTGGTTAGCCAGAGCTGTGTCTAAATCCAGGCGAAATAAACTAAACACAACATCTGGGCCTGTCTTTGTCTTTCTTTAGACAAATATTAGAAGGGGAGTCTGGGGGTTATGTGGTTTGTCTCACGATGGTGCCTCTTCCTTTGGGGTTTCCTGCTCCAGTCCCTATAGCACACACGTGCATCCCCATCCTGGAGGAAAGACCGAGGCACCGATGTGGCCAAGATTAAGGAAAGCTCTGTGTGTTCATTTGCCTGCCTCTCCATCTCCTTTGCTGTGCATCCAGCCACCTAATAACTTGTGCACCATTGGCACACTTCAGGCAATTTGGAGAGCAGGAGGAGGGTGTCACAGCCCCTGTGCACTGCTGGGGTGTGCTGCAGGCTTGGAGTGAAGCTTTGGTGGAGAACAGAGGAGCAGCCTCAGAAGGATGTAACTTTTTGGGACTCAATTGCAAACACGAACCCTAAATCCTGGGCCATGCTGTGCACCCCGCTGCTCTGCTGCTGAGACCTGCCTTCGGCCCGTGCCAGGGTGAAGCCAGGAAACAGGAATGCGGTGAGTCAAAGGCACTTTCCTGTTTGTTTTTCCAGCTCTCTGCTCTGGCAAAGTCTAGCTGAGAAGTGGATTTGTATTTCTGCTGCAACAGCAGAGGTGGTTGCCAAATTTATTGGCACACTGTAGCCTCATAGGAGCAAGTTACAGAGCTCTTTGGGATGTGCACCAAAATACAGTGTAGGCTTTTGGGTCTCTGCGGGAGAGCTGAGCACGCACACGATCAATGTGATCAGGCAAAGCCCGTTTATTACAACTAAGAAAGCCCTTTTATAATATTCTCCCGCACACGTGAGTAACATGTAGTACAAGTTCCCAAGACTGGACAGATAACTTAGCCCACACTTTAAACCTTCTTACGATTGGATAAAAAGTGCCACATCAGCCCTGCCAGGCTTCCTGCCTCGTATAACTTCCTCTTCCATCCCAACCCCTTCCAGGAGTTGTCTCATCGAGTTTCTCCCCCCTCACTCAGGGTCACATCCTTATCGCATTCTTGCTCGGCTGAGGCTCTTACCAGTCTTGTTCTCACGCAGGATTGCTCACATGTCAATTCTCTCACAGAAAGTCCTCTTGAATCCCAACAGGTCTCTTGTATCTGAGTGGGATGGGTTGATAACAGGGTGGCTTGGCCTCTGAGAAACTAATTCTAACTCAGATATGATGTAGGGGCCTGGCATCTGCCAGAGCTCTCAGGGTCACAGCCAGACTGCCCACGGGGCACTCACGTCCCTGGAAAAAGAAAGCTAACAACAATACCAAAAGTATGCACTCCTCTTTGGTCAAATACTCCCCAGGGACAACCTGGTGCATTAACATTTTTACTTCCTGCTACAATGGCTCACGTTGGTTATTCCTCTCTTGCCCTGCCAGTCTGGTAATTGCTGCTTCCCAAACCCCCCTCCACAAAGCAGCTCCCGAAGGAGGCAGTGCCTGAGATCACACCACTCTGAAAAGCTAATGTACATTTCAGAGCAAGCCTCAAGGCTCCTGGGTCAGCTCTGAGCTCCTCTAGCCAAGGCTTGGCCACGTAAGGGAGCCACAGCATACTTAATGTGATGGCCATTTGTTATACATGTCCCAGTTCTATCATGGGTAATAGGAGTGGTTTGGTGATGGAGATGGTTGAACCGTGTCTTAGTTCCTTGTTAACTCTGCCATGCCCCTCCTAATACTAATAATATATGCAGAGTGGGATTAGCAGGGTTGATTTATGACAGTCAACTAGAAAAAAAAAGAAAAAGACTCCTAAAGGAAACTTAATAGAATTAAAAACTATTTAACCCAACAACTGAATCGGCTCTGTGTGTTTGTGTATGCGTGGGTGCAGCCATTGGTCTGAAAGCAAAGCTCTGTGCAGTGTTACTCAATGCCAGAGGATCTTTACTAGCAACGGGCTTTGCATTTGATTTGAGAGCCATGTTTGGTCGCCCCTTGCCCAAGGCTGCTGCTAGGAGTTAGGTGGAAGGCTGGAGGAGCCCAGTCTGTGCCACAGGCACAGGGAGTCATTAATTTTTCAGGAAAAAATACAGCTGAAATGGATGCTTTCATCAGGGAGATGAATCATTGCACTTCGCAGTCAGGGATGTGGCAGCAGAGACTGCGGCAACGAGGGCACAGAGGCATTGGGAACAGCAGCTAGCAGGGCCCATAGTAGCCCAAGGCACCTGACACCTTGTACAGAGGGTAGAAACATGGAAAACACCTTGTACAAGCAAAGAACCACCCATGAGGGCCAGCCGAAAGTCTGAATTGAATCTCCTTTAGGCTGTAAATGTCTTACTGCAAGTGGCTGATGAAAGTTTCCCTCCAGCCAATATTCACCCCTGAAACCTCACCTGAAAATAAGACTTACAGGTATTTACAAATCCCTGAATCCACAGTCAGGACTGAAATACCTAAAGCTTCTTATGTCCAATGGCTACAGAGTCCAATAAAACCTGGGCACGCCTATAGGCGTTAGCCTGTGATACTTTTTGAGGTGTTAATTTTAAGCAACTGAACCTCACCAGTATTGCTGTGGAGGCTTAGGGACATGTGGACAAGTCGGTCTCCAGCAGCTCCACTGAGTGATGACTAATCCCTACTGATTCCAAGCTGGGAGATGATAAACTTATAAAATATGGTGTATTCGGACCTTTTGTGTTCCCCCTTTATTTTCTAGGAGTTAGACTGGCAGTCTAAAATACAGCAGCTCTGATGACTTTGGAGACCAAGCAATAAACCCCGCAAGAGGCCAGTCCAGCTGAAGACCCTCTTCTGCTGCCATTCCATCCCACCCTGCAGTTGCATCCCTCCTGCTGTCTCCCCACCCTGCTGCTTCATCTCTGCCTTGGTGATGGACAGTTTGGGTGACACCATCCCTGCCAGCTGCTTCACCTAAGGTTGGCCAGTCCCTGTGCAAGGGTCTCCCCGCCTTGGAGGCACTGTGGTCGTGGGTGAGAGCAGAGCCTGGACTGGTTTGTCATCGTTGCATTACAGCTGCTGGCTGCCTGTGAGCTGCAGTGACTTGGCATGGGGAAAGATGTGAGCAGAGGCAGGAGATGGAGTTTGCACTAGGCACTGCTCATCCCTCCTGGTTAAACCTGGGCAGAGACAACCTGAGAGCTCACAGGCAGCCAAACATCTTCCAGTGGAAAACTTGTCTTAAAAAAAAAAAAAACAAAAAACCAACAAACTTTGTTTCCTCCTGTCCACACCCTTGCCCAGCCTGGGGAAAAAACCCAAAACAAGACAGCTGGCTCTAACAGTGCTGGCAGTGAGATATAAATGGGCTAGTCCTGCTTTGGGGAAGAACTATATTAAAAAAGGAAAGAATCATCCATGTCTTGTTTCCGCAACTGCTCCTACGCCCACACGCCAACAGAAGAGCCACCTTTTCCTGTGGGAAATGTTGCTGCTTGTCTGTGCATTGAGCTATGACCCTGGCTGGACCCCACAACGTTGTGCTCTTCCCAGGTGTGGATGGGTGCATGTGTACATGTGCTTTTCCTTCCGCCACCCCATTTCCACAGCAGGCACCCAGTCTAAGATGTTTTGGTGCCAGTGACAGCACCAGACCCGACGGCGTGCAGCCACGCATGAGGCCAGATCCTGCACCATTGGTCACCCCAGGTACTGTTCTGCCTTTGGGCCTGGGGGGCCCACACATACGGGTGCAGTAGATGCCATCGAGAACAACAGGGCGCCGCCACGTCTTCCTGGAGCACGGCGTAGTGGGTGTGGGTCACTCATCTGCCCTCAGCGCACACACTGCACCAGCAAACTGCTGTCTCCACAAGTCTGGTGGATGCCGTGGCCAACCTAGCATTACTTTTACCTTGTTTCAAACACATGGTGAAGGCTGGCACCAAGTTTGTTTCCTTCTCATTTAAGAAAAAAAAAAAAAAAAAAAAAAAAAATCATAAATGTCAACATGTCCCAACTCCTTGGATGCCATCTAACCCTGCCAAAAATAAGTCCCAGCACACTACAGGAACTTGAGAAAGCAAAACAGGCAACTCAGAGAGCTGCCTGGCCACTCTCACCCTGTTCTGGGGCAAGGCAGAGCGCCGTTGAGCCTCAGGGCAGTGGGGTTCAGCCTCGGTCCAGCTGGGCGGCAGGAGAGCACTGGTGCAGGCAACCGCAGAGCGTGCTGTGGCAGAAGCAGGCAACGCGAGGGCCCCGTGGGCAAACGGAGCCGGGCTGGCGAGTGGACACACTTGGCAAAGGAGCAAGTCAGCTAATGATCGTTTCCAGGGGTGGTTTGGATAACAAGAATGGCAGTTCTAGTAGGTATTTCCTGAGGTTGAGCAGGGCAGGGCAGGGGGAATTAGTATGAGCTCAGTTTAGCTTCTACCCCTCCTTTATTTGTAATGAGATTAACAGCAGAGATGGCAGCAGCACCATCAGTCTGCTGCCGCGATGGGGTGAGCTGATAACAGCTCCACTGCCTTGCATGCGAGCCCAACAGCTCCGGCCCACGGGCAAAAACAACGGAAAGAACACCCTTTTATCACAAGTGGCTTTTTTGCAATGGCCTTAGAGTGGCTTCGCTCCCAAGTTCGGGGGAAATGCATTGCACTGGACTGGCCTGGCTGCCCCTGGCAGTGCCAGGAGTGTGGCTGCCCTCCCAGCGCATCCCAGCGTCACCAGCCCCCCCCTTACAGCACTCCTGCACCCGATGACAGATGAAAGCACCAGGCTAAAGGTTGGTCCCTGCTTTGTTGGTGAGAAATGAGGCCACCACTTGCTGTCAGTGTGCTTTGGGCAGCTCCAGTGCAAGAAATGAAACCAGTTGGTTTGACTGCAGTGAAGTAGAAGTTAGAAAGACGTGTGAATGCCCTGAAAGGTACCTCCCAACTGCTCATGGTGCTTTCACTGGACTGTAGCAAAGGTGCAGAAGAAACTCTCTCATGACGCTCCCTCCTAGAGATGAGAATGTGGACCCTCTGGTAAATTTTGCAAAGATCTTCATTGCACCTGGGACAAGATCTGTTAATGGCAAACCTAGAGCCACCTAGTTTTGGCTGGAAAACCACTGAAACAAAAGCCCTGTATATTAAAAGCCTGATATTAGTCACAGTAACCAAACACACATAGGCCAAGCGTGCCCATCCAGGGCAGGGGCCCCAGCTGCTGTGGGGCACATTGGCACCGGGCTCATCTCTGCAGGGGTCTCTGCAGCAGCTGGGCACAGCCAAGGTGACGCCTGAACCTGACATCCCCTTCAGCACATTGTCAGTCACTGGTCACATCACCCTTTGCCAGGATGCTCACAAACACCATCTGTGGTGACTTGCATTTCTGCATGAAGACCTTTTTGTAGAGCCCCATCAATATGTGCTCATGGCCCAGGGGTGGCCAAGTGCTGGGGGGGCCAGCTGCCTGCTGTTGGGAGGATTGCAGGGTGCTGCTCCCACCACCACACAGGAAAAAAACAACCCACCAGCATCTTAAAACCAGTTTGCTGGCCCCAGGCACCTGGGGGTTGTTTGTTCATCTCCTTTCGTTTCGACACCTCGTGTGAGAGGCTGGGAGCTGGCATTCACCACTCCTGTGGTGCCAGCTCTGAGATTGTTTTATTTGATTTGTCGGCCAAATTGGGTGGATGGGTGGAGACTGAATTTTCCCCTTTATTTTTGTTTTCAAAAAACCCTTCTGGCCCTGGGTGAGGCAGAAGGAGCTGGGTAGTTTCACCTCTGTCTTCTCTGTGACAGTTACCTGCCTACAGCATTGGGGCCAGAGCCTGTCTCCTCCAAGCAGAGGAGCTGGGTGTCAGGGGGAC